CGTTTTGAAAACATGTAGAGAAATAGATTTAATGGAAAAAGATAAGGTTAGTGGCAATACGAACTCCCATTTCTTCAAATGGCAGGATCCACGTATAGGTGAGGAAGAAGTCACAAGCACATAAGGGACGCCCACCTTAAACATAGAAGGCCAATTATAAATAATATTTTATGTCGATAGCCTAGTAATGATGTCATCAGCGTGCCCTTCCTAATTGAAATATAATGGTATCATGGTTGTCTATAGAACTCATTAGTGTTGGACATAGTCATTTAAGAAAATACATTCACTTGACTCTCTGCCTAAAACGCTTAGTTCTAATTAAGTTGTATTGTTTGAACCATAATAATGTGCAAGCAAAGATAAAATATAAGAAGTTATGTTTTAAAAATTGGTTTAAATATAAAAGCTTAGAGAACTGAGAAAAATATCAAACGGCCTGCAGGGAGCTAAAAGAACAATATGTGACGCTAAAAATTATGTTTTTAATGATCTTTATAATATATTAGATAATAAGGAGGGTGAAAAATATATGTATAAACTAGTCAAACAAAGAGAAAAGAAAAGTAAAGATTTAACTGGAGTAAAGTGTATGAAAGATGAAAATCAAAAAGTGCTTTTCGTGGAAAAATATATTCAACATAGGCGGATGAGTTATTTTGATAAACTTTTTAATGAAGTTTTTGAAAATACGATCAACCTTAGTGATTTTAATATCATTAATAATAATAAAACGTTTAAATTTTACCGTCGTATTAGTTAAAAAAAGTTGAGGAGGCTTTAAAGAAAACTAAGGGTGAAAAGTTTGTAGGACCTGATGATATCCCAATTGAAGTATGGAAATATTTAGGAGATTTGGGAGTTTCTTGGTTTACTAAACTCTTTAATATTATTCATTTTTAAGAATAAAGGGGATGCACAAGAGTGTGCAAATTATAGAGGAATTAAGTTGATATGTCATACTTTAAAATTATGTGAGAGGATAATTGAACATACGTTAAGACGTATTACAAAGATTTCTTATAATCAATTTGGACTTATGTCAGGCAGGTCTACTATGGAAGTTATATATTTATTGAGAAATTTGATGGAGAAGTTCAGAGATAATAAGGAGAATCTACATTTATTTTTTATTGAATTAGAAAAAGCTTACAATAAGGTTCCAAGAGATATCCTTCAGAGAGTTCTTGAGAAGAAAGGTATTGAATATGACTTAGGAGTTATATTCAAGTCATTAAAGATATGTGTACTGAAGTTGTTACTTGTGTTCGAACAGAAGGAGGATTGACCAAATATTTTTTTTTTTTTTAATTTCAGTTGGATTACATCAGAGATCAACTTTAAGCCCATATCCTTTTTGCTTTAGTTATGGATGGTCGTACTGGACAATTATAGGAGAATGTACCTTGGTGTATGTTTTTTGCTGATGATATCCTTCTCGTATATCCTTCTCGTGGATAAGACAAAAAAAGCCGAAGAAAAACTTGAATTATGGAGGTCTACATTGGAGTCTAAAGGCCTTCATTTGAGTAGAACTAAAACTGAATACATGGAATATAATTTTAGTAATAGTATTTCTAGTGACAGAAGTGTAACTTTGGCTGATCAAATTATTAAAAGGTGTGAACGCTTTAGATATCTCAGGTCTGTTTTTCAAAGCGATGGTGATATAGATGGGGATGTTAATAGTAGAATTCAAGTTGGTTTGTTGAAGTGGAGGAATACTTCGGACCTTCTGTGTGATAGAATAGTACTGCTTAGATTGAAAGGAAAATTTTATAGACCTGCAATGCTCTATGGCGCTTAATGTTGGCCTTTAAAAGAGAAACATAATACTAAGTTAAGTGTTGCCGAGATGAGAATGATTAGGTGGATGAGTGACTTTACACTTAGAGACAAAATGCGAAATGAATATATCTGTGATAGGGTTGGTGTAGCTCCTATGACGGACAAAATTAGAGAAAGTCGCTTTAGATGGTTTAGTCACATTAAGCGTCGACCATCTGATGATCCGATTAGGAGAGTAGATATTTTAGATTCGACTTATGTTAAGAAAGGCAAAAGTAGACCTAGGAAGACTTGGGCTCATTGCATAAAAATGATCTTAATTTATTAGCACTACATGAAAATATGACACTAAATAGGACACAATAGAGAAAAAGAATTCATGTAGCCGACACCCCGTAGTGGGATTAAGGCTTTGTTGTTGTTGTTGTTGTTTTTTGAACTATTATTTATTTAAAGGATTTGAATCTTGGGCCACCACCTAGAGATCAATGACAATATTTTTTTTGGACTTATGAACTACTATGTCACATAATGTTACCAAGCCTTACCACAGTATGTAAACTACGACAAGTACTTCACATGTTACAGACTTAAAAAAGATATTTCGTCTTTATGGCAATCTTAGGACCATTGCCTTAAAAAATATAAGAAATCTCTAAGCCACTTTTTGAGGATTTTATAAGAAAAGTTTGGAAAAAACTCCAATCCAATTCAACTGCAGCTACTGACAAATGAAAAAACAGAGATGATGAATCATAGTTTGGAAAATCTTTTGTGGGCAAAAGTATAGGTAGTGGGATTTAATTCTTCCTCGGGTTAAATTTGCCTACAAGTCCACTAGCCAGTTCACAAGTCACGGATCCTTTAAGATTGTATACGAACAAAAATCCATTACACATTTGGAATTAGTGTAGCTACTGAGCTTAGCATAAATAAAAAATTTATATTCAAAGAGACTGAGACCCTACATGAGCAGCTGACAGAAAATTACCGAAAAAAGACCAAATATTAGAAGTAGGCCAATAAGTTCAAAAAGTCTATGGTCATCAAAGAAGGTGATTTGGTGTAAATCTGACTGAAGAAGGATAGATTTCAGGTAGGTTCAATTAGAAACTTAAGCTTGGAACAAATGATGCATTCATAATTGTCGGGAATTAATAATAATGCTTATAAGATTGATCCGTCGAAAGGTTACAATATTTATGTTATCTTTAACGTTGTTGATTAGTCGTCATACTACGAGGATGTAAGTGTTTTTGAAGATGAAACAAAGCTGCTGCCACCCAGAGAAAATAAAGCGACGGCAGCATATCCCAATCTAGCAGTAGTGAACTCAGGACATCCATCATAAAGTTATTTAGGAGAACCTAAACCAATTCCATTTTTTCCCCAACTTTGGCCAGCCCTTTAAGGCTTTTATTTTAATTAGGATTATGGTTGCTTTTATTTTGAAAGTATAAATATATCAGGTAGAACCTATGTTTGAAATTTTTGTTTTGATGTTATAATACAAGATATTTTTTCCCCTTAAATTTCCTATTTATAGAACTATAGCATATTCTTCTTCTAGTGTTGAGTCTAAATCTTAAAGAGAATAGGTGGTGGAACCTTCAAACATTCGTACCACCAATCGTACTCCTCTTATTTTTTTTCCTCCAAGATAGTAACCATTGTCAATTTTCCCTTCCAATCTTTGGCAATGCCTTAGATCTCCTCCAGGACATCCCCAATGCTAGAATTGATCCCCATACACCTTCTGTGAACCCAATAATGATGTCACATGTGATTGTATATCAACTTTTAAGAGAAGTTTAAACATATTCAAAATCAAATAAGGGTTATACATATTCATATAAGGGATCATCTATGTGTGGTTTGATTATAGTAATATCACAAAAACAAATACAAGAAAAGTGCATGGTTTACACAAAATTAAATTATTTTATCTTTAAGAATTTCGTAGACTTTTAAATTAGTCATCACCATCATCATTACTCTTATCTAAGATTTGGTTAAATGGAATTTTCCTATGAATCCTCCTCCCTACATGTTTGTTGAATGATGAATGGGGTGTCAACTCTATTTTGTGCATGTGTTTCACAAGCTCTAGAAATGTTACCATTGTCCCTAGAAAGTTATCGTAGAAATCTAAGTGGCATGATAAAATGAACTTCTATAGCAAAACCGATGAAGCACAAAATATTCTTCAATGTTTTGAACCATGCATGGAGATTTCTCTGTTGATTAGTAGTTTTGAATTTTTAAATAAGGGCAAACGACAGGAATTGCACAAAGATACAATATTGCGATCTCTATTCGTACATTTTTGCAGCAAAACACTTTGTCCGCTATAAATCCTTTCAATTGAAAACTAATTCATCCACCACTTATCCTCTCAGAGAAATCTATCGATTTAGCAAGAATTTTTCCATTGAAAATTTGAAAATAAATAAACTGAAATTTTTAAGTGAATTTAGTGAAACAATAGCCATATCTATTAACTCCTATAAAAATGCCATCATGGTTAAATAGAGTATACCTTTAATAAATACCATTTATATATTTTGAACAACCCGTTCAACTTAATTACAAAAGCAACCAACATCAAAACACTTTTACACTAATCTGTGCATTTCAATTATTTTTTTTCTCCTGCCCAGTGAGAGACATCAAAAGTGAAAGCAACGCTAGAACTTAGATCAGGCTAGTAACACCCACGGAGCATGGGTATACCAAAGTCCTTATGGATTGCTTTGGGGCAAAGAATTCTCAGGTTGTCCCACAAGATTGACCTCTGGAGCAAGTTAACCCATCTGAGGTTTGAATTTCAGCATGACAGTTGACTGAGTGAAATTTGGTAAGAAGATAATATAAAGGAGATGTACAGATTTCCATAAAAATTAGTATACCAGTACAAAATTTAGTACCAATTAGTTGTACAGATGTACTATTTAGTACCAATTAATTGTATAAAAGATTCAAGGACACATCATATGGAAACCAATTTGAGCAATCATCGAATTCTCATCCGCCCCACTAAAAAGCTCAATATTGGTCATTCGGCATAGAACGGCAATCAGTGAAGCTTCAACAAAGAGAAACAATTGACATAAAACTCAGAAAATGAAGAAAAAGCTCCGAAACATAAAATTTAGCATGTACAAGACACCATAGTTACGAAAATCGCTGAGGATTCAGAAAGATAGTCCTACCGTTGTCTGTATACCATGATCCTGCGTGCAAGGCTCGCCGAACTGTGTCCATTGGAGATAACGAAGCTGGGAGATCAACGGTGGAAAGACAAATGGGTTGACGAGTCGTACCCGTATACTCCGTGCCGACCAAGAAGTTTCCAGTGCTTCGGGGGCTGTTTGGCTTCAACAAGGATTTCACTCGTTAGATTTAGGAGAGCTGTCCGCTGAAAAAGTAAATAAAGGTACGATTACGATTTCATTTTTGTTAAAAACATAAATTTAGACAAATGAGATTGAACTAAATTTAAAATTTAAACATAAATTTGTTAAAAACATAAATAAATTTAAATGAGATTGAACTAAACATAAAATTTAAACATAAATTTAAACATAAATTTAGACAGATTACGATTTCATTAAAATTTAAACATAAATTTAGACAAGAAAATATATGAACAAAAACAACAAATTTTAGTCCCAGTAAGTGGGATTGGCTACTGAACCTGGAAATATAATTGTGTAAAATTTAAAAAATTTAACTCCGTTTTTCAACGATGTCAAAACTTGATGCGTTATTTTATGAATAAAAAATTTAAGCAATTTATGTTGGGACTATACGCAAGTCTATTTTAATTAAGTAACGTAAGACTTTCTATTTAAGCCCCAAATATCGATCCCACGAGGAAGATTTAAATTTGAATTGATAAATGAACTAAGAAATTCACATAAATAAAATGAAATTACTGTCACTAATTTTGAATTGTTTGAGATACTATCAGAACTAAATTATTAATTACTAGCAAAACTAAAATGCAAAGTTTAAACAGTAACTACTAAATTATGTTTTATGTGATGAAGTTTTCTAATATGAAAAAACATCTTTCCCACTACAAAGAGTTTTTGGTAAAATGAGATGAGATAAATGGTTTAATATGTATTGTGTGAAATAGGAGTAATTTTCTACCTTGATTCAGTTTTATGGAAAATCATTGGCTAATCTCGGGTTTAGTCCCTAAATTTGTGGTTTGGCTAGGAGGATACTAGTTTTCACTCCAGAGCTCCCACTTCTCTTCCCCTAAAAGCTAACGCTCGCTTTAGTTCTTAAACACTAAGACCGAATTGAGGATTTTAATCTGTCATCCTAAAATCTCCAATTCTACACCCAACAAAGTATATTCCTTATTTATTTGCACTTAATTCCATGCACAAAATACTCCTTCATGGAATCAAATGTGATTCTCACTCTTGTTGTAGAACTCATACTCCATTTCCCAGATCATATATTTCACAACATATTTTAACAATCCAATTGGTCAGATCAGAAAGTTAATTAAGAACGAAGTTGAAAAACCATCACAATTTATTTTATATTTTAAAATTGGCACATCCAAATTATCTCTTCGTTTCACCATATCTCAGAGCATATCTCAGAGTAGGGAGAAAGCAAGGAAACTACTCAGACTTCATGAGAAAGATACAACAAAACACAAATTTCATATATAAAAGAAAGTTCATACAATAATTATAAACAAACAACACTTATCTGAAACTCTTTCTCAAAGCAAATCCCTTATAGCCTCTCTTAGAAGATGTAGGAAGAAGAAAACTCTCACTTTTTTCCCTCTCTAACACACTTAGTGAAGAATTCACACAAACTCACCACCAAAACTCAAAACTCTAAAGACATAAATGACTAATTGACTCTAAGTGGTTGTGGGAAAAGTGGATTAGCGTGGAAGAGAGTGGAAAGCGGTCACAATGGACAAAGGGGCTTCTCTGATCAATTTTTGCTCTAATAGAGCCTAATGTTGGTTTTCCAATAGGTGCATCCAAAAACTTATCAAAAAGCGTCCAAATTTGTCGAATCTTCTACAAATAGGTCATGCACCGACATTGGCGCTGTCGGTGCCAGTGGCCCGTAACTCTCTATTGAAGGGAGCCGTCAGCGCTGCTCCTGGCGCTCAGGCCGTCGGCGCTGAGTATTTCTTCAAAAACGTCATTTTGACTCCAAATTTCATCCTTTTTGTTTCATTTTTACTTCAAGTCCTAAAAATCAACAACCTACAATAAAACATGAAAAATATTTTCCTTTAAAGTGCAATATCACTAAAAATTAGTATAAAATATAAGTCAAAATATGCATGTATTTTTAGTGCATCAAAATCCCCCAAACTTCAATGTTACTTGTCCTCAAGTAACTCATTTATTACATAAAAATATGACTCATGGCAAAGAGTTTTAACTTCTAGATTTTCATATTTTAGTCAACTAAATACAATGGCATAACTTAAGAAAAATGTTAAAGAACTCTAGCTAAAGATATAAGAATACTAGTAGTTAAGTCTAAGATTTCTTATTCTCTATTCTTTTTAAGGAAAATTGTAAATTGTCATATTAAAGCCATTTAGAATATCCATATGAAAAAGAACTTCATGAAACTTTACTAGTAAAAATGCTAATGCTTAAATATAAGTTTAGAGAATGTAGTCAAGCTTTCTTCTTTAAGTTAATTCAAGTGAAACTAATTTTTAATTAGGCATCTCCTCAAGCTTCTCCTCACATCTTTTTCTTTTCTTTTTTTCTTTTTCAGGATCATTTTTTATCCTTTTTCTTTTCTTTTTTCTTTTTCAGGATCATTTTTAATCCTTTTTCTTTTTCTTTTTTTTTATATGAGGATTACTATATCTGGATAGCTTTTAATGATCTTGAACTTCACTATCCCCTACTTAAAGTTAAATATTTTTCACATTCTTTAACTTTATAAATTTATATTAGCTTTAAAGATTTTTCATAAAGTTTTATTCTTTTCTTCTTACATGAATCTCTAAGATTTTTTAACACTTCAAAAAGATAAATTATGTTACTTATAATAGAAAAATATAGTCTTATTCTCTTATACCAAATATCTTAAAATTTAAAATTAACCTTTATTATTGAAAATTTTTACTTAGTTTTACTCTATATTTAGAAACGAAAATATAGTTATCTAAAGTTGCCCTCTAATACCAAAGGTCATGTTAAATTTAAAAATTTTGAAAATATAGTTAATTAAGGACAAATAAAATTAAGTTTCTTTCTTTAAAAAGAAATTTTTCTTCCCTTCCCCCCTCCCAAACTTAAATATTTAAAAGATTTAGCATGAAAAACTAAAAAAGAAATAAAGGGTGAAAGAAAACATTTAATACATAAAAAAAAACTTACCTGTTGAAGGTTCGGATATTGAAACTTAACTCTGAAATATTGTAGGTGCTAATATGAAAAGCTACAAGACTTAAAACATTAAATAACACATAATACATATAAAAATTTGCTAAGAAAGAGTTAACTATAAATACATTCAACAAAGTACTAAAAGCTAACAACAGAATTAAAATATATTTCAATGTAAAAACAGTTTTACAATCCTACTATTCACAATATAAAATAACATCTAAAATAAAACAAAGTATCACACTCTAAAAACAAACAATAATAACAACCACTCTAAAAACAAACAATAATCAACCAACAATAAACTAAACAATAAACTAAACAAAAGATCAAATTAAAACATCACCAGTCATCATCATCTTCTTCTTCTACATCAAAGTTTTGCTGCTGATACTAGGTAAAGACAGGGTGAGTAGGAAACTGAACTGAGTAGTCACCCCTCATGTATCTAACCATTGCATCATCATAAGCAACATCATACTCAAACTTCTACCTTGTCAAATCATCATTATGTGCATTTTTGGCCTCTACATTTTCTATTATGCTTTCCATTCTCAAGATTTCCATTCTCAAGATATCTTTCCATTCTCAAGATATATCCCTGTTGGATCATCAGTTGCTCCATAAGTCCCTATAGAGTAAGGGTACTAGAAGGAATATCCCTACCCCTACTCCAACTTCCAGATCTCCATCAAACATGAGATTCATAAGTCTTAATATTTACAGCCCAATAGGTTTTAGAGGTTCAATCCTCTCCCCATCCATTCTAAAATCAACTCCTGCTTGTTCACATAGTGTGAAGATAAGAGCAGTGTGTGCTAAACCACCAGCAGTTTCACCCAAAGCAATAGAACGAGTGTTTCTACAAACAATATAGCCTACATCTATCATTCTCATCTGCTGGATACAGAAGTTCAAGATGGCTCTATCGTTTGTAACCTCGCTATGATGATTTGTTGGTATCATTCTAGCAGATATAAAATAAAGTTAAGCCTTAGATACTACATTTAACATAGAAAGGGGGAAGTTTGCCTTAAAGTTATTCTTCACCTTCCAAGCTCCTCTTCCAATAGTAAGAAAAGAAATAGCTTCATCTAAGGCCTAATTTATAGCAGAAAATGATTTGTACTGACAGCTATACACATCCTCTAACTAATAAAATTCATTAATTCTTCTTGGAGTAAATTCTATCATTTTCCCTCGAGCAAAAATGTAGTCTTCAGAAGTTTCTTTAAAGTTGGCATATAACTCCATCACTATACCAATAATAGCCTCAAAAGTAAAATAACAAAAATTCTCCCACTGTCAAGCAATGATTAATCTTTCGACTTCTCCACCTGAACTTTTAAATCCTCGATCCAGATTTACTTTCTTAGTTGCAAGCAGACAATTGAAACAAATGTTAGACTTGTAGTTGACAACCTTTTGATCATCAAAATCCACTTTCATCTTTCCTTTACTCATTCTCGGTGTCATAGTAATCTAAGAAATTTTGATAAAATCCAAATAAATTCTGAAAATTCTGAAAATCTCAATGTGTAACGTTTTAAACTTAAATCTACTAAGTAAGAGTTCTTCACCAAAGGATTTTCTCAAAATCTTCTCAAAAAAAATTGAAATTTTGGATCTCGGCAATGTAAGATAAATCCTTGATGAAAATAAAAAATTTTGGGTTCAAAGTGTAGCTCTTACCGAGAGAAGATGAAATCTGAACTTTCTTTGCCTTAAAATTGTTAAATTTGCCTCAAAACCAAGCAATAGTAAGCCCTAGGTACACAAACCGGAGGTTGAAGGTGACCAAAAGCGTAAAAATGGTGTTTTTACTGTGCAAGTCATGAATTTTAAGGAGTTTGGGTATTTTTCGGGTCAAGTGCTCTAACGGCGCCCATTCTGGCACCATCGGTGCCAGTGGCCAAAAACTCAATTTTTTTAAATTTTTATAATTTTCAACTTTCTTTCAATTCACTCCAAAGTCTAATTAGTCCTCCAAAGTCTAAAAAGTCTAATTA